TGCAGAAACGCCATTATTTGATTTTTATATAAAACATTGATTCATTCTTAAATATATATTCTTTAAAAAATAGTAAATACCTCAAGAGTGACAGAAAAGTTTCCTTTTCTGTTCTGTGACACTAATTTAAACTTTGAGTCTTAGTTTACATGGTCCTAGGGGTTAAACAATGAGATGTATAACTGTACAGTTAATTGTGTTCCTGTAACCTGATGATTTTTTGGAAATCTGCTTTTCTCTTTAAATTAGGAAATTTAAAATTTCAAGGGCCATATTAGTTATCTAACTATTTTGGGCTAATGTTGACTTATAAATAAATAAAAATTCAGAAATATATTCATGATGACAATTTTGTTATTTACACTGCTTATTCTTTATTTCTTCTTTTTTAGTTCAAAGGTGAAATTTTGACCTTTGTATTAACAAAGCTAAGAAAAGAGAAATCCTGCCCTTTAGACATTGATTTTCCTTGCATTTTATGGTGGTGTGGTTTTGCCTCAGCAATAATAAAACATAGATAAAATATGTTGTTGCATCAAGTTCACTTTGTCTGCTGAGATTTTTTTTAAGAACCAGGTTGAAGTCTCTATGCCTAAAAATGCATTAATTGTCTGGATCCATATAAAGCCAGATACATGGCTACTAGTAAGTTTTGCAACCAAAACTGGTATATTAAAATTTACTGTACACTTTGAGATTGCTGCCATTTTTTGGTGCTTTTTGGGCCTTGTCATAAATGGGTATATGAGTAATTGAGGAAAAATTATTCAAGTTACACATGCTACATTAACTGTGCTGTATTATCGAAGTAGAATTATAATTAATGGACCAAATAGTTCCTAAATTAGTAAGAAGGCTTACCTACAAAAAAATGAGATAACACTGATATTTCTGTTTCAAAGGCTAACAGCAATTCTTGGTTGGTCCTGATCTATTTGGTTCATACAATAACTACTGTACATGCTAAAACATTTGAATATTAATGGATTTGCTGAAGATTCTGGGTGTGAGGATTAGCTTGAAAGCAACACATTTGCTAACATAAATCATGACTCAAATTATCCCCATGTGCTTTACTACCTGTATATGAATGCAAATGCTGTTACAGAAAATGTGCTTGAAATGTCAATACGGTGTGCAATTAGCGTTGCATTGTCATGCTTCAGCATGTGATTATCTGTATGGTGAAATTATTTCAATTACTCCAGTATGTTACTATAATAAAAAAAAGTTTAACATAAGAAAACTACAGTATGTCATCAAATGCTTATTTCTGTTTTACACACACACACGCACACACACACACATGGTTTTTTGTAATAGAAGAGATTCCCAATTAAGGTTTCAGAGTGATGAGATATGTTTTTACAGAAATTTTTACTATGTACAGACAGCAATAGCACTATGGGGATAACTTTACCTGCTGTTAAGGTCAGGTCAAGTCAACAAAATTGTTGTCAACTCCTCTCATAGATAGCTTGAAGGCTGACTGTTCTAAAATTTAGAAATTACATTTTTACATCTTTCTAATGTCATGGATTATAGCAAAAGTATTACTAATCTGATTAGAATTATGTCAGCATCTCAGCTATGAAGTTCCTTTTTTTTCAGTAATTTATAATCTCATTATTAAAACTTAGAACACTAACCCTCAAAAAAAAAACAAAAGCATATCATATTGCTATTTGTGCCATTTTTCTTTAGGATAATTATGTATAAAGTATCTGGAATAGTCTTCCTTTAAAAAATGCATTTTGGATAAAAATTTAGGAAATTGGAATGTTAATGCATGTATGCCTTGCTTTTTGGAATTGATAATCAAATGGTATAATGATTGACTCTTAAATATATTTTTAAAAATTCATTATTATTTTTATAAAGTTAAAATATTCTATACAGGCTTTTAAAGTTGAATTGATTTTTTTCAGTGGCTGCTAAAGATGAGGACAATGTGGGTAGTTTGCTCTCTTTCTATTTTATAAAATAATTTTAATTTTATATATATATAATTTCATTTTTAATTAAATGAATGAAAATCTTTTAAAAATTATAATATAATCTTGAATAATTTGAAGTGTTAGAAAACTATATGGTACCTTAAAAATAAAATAAACATTTGGTTCTTTTGTAGTGAATAAGATAATCTTTAACTTAGAGTTATCTTTTAATGATTATTCATCAGGTATGTATACAGTATGTTGACAATGATGCCCATCGCCATGGTCAGGTAAATTTGGAAAATACTGGGTATAAAAGTGGAATGTGTTTCTCTACGTTCAGTACTTCAAAGTCTTTAGTATCTTCAGATACATTGAGATTTTTCCAGAAAGGGACAGGAACATGCATCAGTTCCCAAAATTTCACCATAGTATCTTTTATTTCAGTGCATCTCCCAGGACTAGACTTCTATTGAGCACACTTTGGAATACACCAAAATTCACAAATTCATTCACTAATAAAGGAATCAAAACATTTAATCATGTATTTATCAAATATACACTGGTGGTATAAATATGAACACTGACAAGTCTAGTGCAAGAAATCTACTTGGACTTGTCACTTGAGAATTTGGTCATTTCCAGGGGAATATTTGAACCAGGGTTTCAGAGTGATGGCTTGAGGCCTGGAATGATATCCAGAGGTAAATAATCCTAATGATAAGTATGCATTATATTAGATATTTGCAACATACTCATGATATATGAAGATGCAAAATGCTTAAGAATGTAGCCAGAATGTGATCCAAGCCCTTATAAATAGATCTTAATCATTTATTGGGTCATAGATGATAAAAGTTTGTTTTTAATGAGTGTCTAAAGTCGTCCATCAGCAGATGAGAGCTTTGCATAATAACGGGATATATCTAGAAACACTTGCTGGCCATCTGAAAGTATCTTCTTATACAAAACAAAAAGGCCTGTTTGTGGCTGACCTACTTCCTTTACAGCTAGAAGTTATTCAGAGTTTGTCACATTTGTGAGAGACAAGTCAGATTTTTTTCAAGTCAGATTTATCAAGTCAGATATTTTTTCTGTGTCTAAGTTTTCTCTAAGCAACCTGTTAGGCCTTAAGAAATTTGATCAAACTCCACTCTGTATTGTCCCATGTGAAATACTGCTAAATTAATCTCCCTCTTTAAAAATATAATATACCACTATTCAGTATATTTAGGGAGGATATGCTGATGGCACGTAGTGTGTAAATTGAACTATTTTATACAGTCATCAAAAATACATCTTAGTATTTTGTAGACTGAGGGCTGTCCTGACTGTCGCACAGCAATGGACACTCATTGTTTCTGAAATGTTTTATTAAGGCAGCCTTCAGTCTTTGATATTGCAATAGAAACATCTAGTGAGGATGTGCAAATCCAAACGCTTGGATAATAAAACTGTATATTAATGTGTTTAGTCAAATTCTGTCCTATTACAGCTATGCTGCTATTAGTGTTGGAATAAATTGAAAAAGGTCAAGAAACAATAAATTTTTAAACCTGCAGCATGCTGTTAGCAGTAAAAGCATTATCTGTGTGTTCATAATATATTGGATTTAGAGGAAAAGTATATGACACAGTGTATGTGAAAAATCTAGGTATATAAACCTTAATACAATCTAAAAAAATACCATTTCAGCATATTGCCTCATCTTCATTAAAATGATGAAAATGTGAATTCAGAAAACCACTTAGTCCTTAGGCTAAAAATAGGTAGATCATCAAAACCTAATATCGTTTTAGTCCAAATTGGTATTTGTTCAGTAATGTTCATAATGTTGAAGTACAAAGGGAAACTCAAATTTGGGGAAGAAATTGAGGGGATTTTAAAAATAAGCAAATTTAGCTAATTCCACTGTTTGACTCTTCCCAAACTGAAGCCAGACTTGTCTTGAAACGAATCAGTAGATACCTCAGAAATTAGCTTAATTTCATATTTTAACCTCGGATTTCTCAGTCATGTAATACTTTTGTTTGCTTTTTGAATTCTTTTTTCCTGACCATTTCTCAGTTTCATTTATGTCATCTTATTCAGCTTCACTCTTCCCCATGTGAAGCACTGTCACGTTACTCTCATTCTAAAGGTGTTGGGTAAATCTTGCCTATTTTTTGGTTGTTTTAATGAAAATATTTTCTTATAAGAAAGAGCAAAGGCAGATTGCACTTCTGCATTATTTACATTTTTGGAGTAAAATTTTTTCTTAGCACATCGGCCCACAGTCAGTGTCTTGTTTCTCTGAGCAGCAGGTAAATAATGACAACTTCTCTAAGTTCTGTGGCTACTCAGAACCTCTTAAGAATATATATATGTCCTGGTAAACTGCAAGAGGCTCACTTCAGGAACTGAAATGTTCTAAGAAATGTTGATCTGGCTTCTTCCTACACTTGCTAGAAATTTCCACAGCAATATGCAGATCCAAGCTAGGTATTTCTTAGATGAGTAATTACAAATTTCTAAGGAGCTGCATAGCATCGTAACACTTTGCCAAATAATGTCCAGACTTTGGGAAAATAAAATGAATCTCCTTAGAAACACTGGATTCTAGAAACACTGGATTCTCTCCTCGCTTCTTTAGCGTCCTACTTATCCTCTATTGTCATTTTTCTTATGTAATAGAACATACGCTGCAATTGGAAGCTGAAGATGTGGGTTCCCATCATAGTTCTATCCTGAGTGGAACAGGGTCTTTGTTTTCTAAAAATAAATGCCAACTGTTGAGAGTTTTGTTGTGAGGAAAATAACAAGCAGTAGTCTCTAAAGTATAATTTCCTCATTGCATATTTAAAAACACCCAAACTCACCCAATGATCAGAAAGATTCTACTTTGTGATTCTAAGTCTGGTTGTGGGGGTGGGAGGGTGGTGGTTAGCGTTGAGTTTCAGGTTCTGTAAGAATGGAACTAAACGCATTACCAGGTGGCAATCATCTTCATCTATTCAATAACACCGGTTGGCGTACATACTAAATTGTGGCACTGGAGACGCACATACAACTGAAGTAACTCACCAGTTCCTAGAGGCAAGTGGGCACGTGGGGAGACAGAGGCAGCGGCGCCCTCCAGGCGCTCCTCTAGTACAGAGGCGGCGGGGCCAGGGCTGTCGGGACGCACAGGCCCGCGTGCCAGCCTCTGGCTCACCTGCCCAAGGGCAGAGAGGGAAGCTCGGCCCCTCGCCGAACCCAGGCCTGTGAGCAGTTCCCGTACTTGGGGAGTGGGCGGCGGGGCTCAGCCGAGGTATAAGTTCCTTAGCGTCACCATTGTCGGTGTGAAAATGGACGTGGAAGACGACATATAACAGGCTTTCCGAACTGCCACCCCGGGCTGGCGGGGACGTGGCGCCGCGCCGGGGGAAGCCGCTTGGACGGTGGTCCCTGGGTCAACGCCTTCCCCAGGGCCATTGGGCCAGGCCGGTACGGCCCGGGACGCCCCGGAGGGCCTGGGGAAGAACCGCCCGGGCTGGCCCTTCGCTTTCCCAGGCAACGGCTGGAACCCGAGTGGGCCTGCGCGCGATCTGGGACGTGGAGGGTCTGCGGCGGAGCCAGGAGGCCTGAGAGGTCCTGAGGCGAGTGGGTTGGGAAGGGCCGCGAGGGGGCGCTGAGACGGCGAGTGGCCGGGCCTGGGAGCGGCAGGTGTCAGGAGAGCAGTCAGGACGCTTGCTTAGAGTCCAAGCCGATTAGGACCAGAGGCTTCCCCGGGTGACATGGTGATAATCCAGATTCAGGAGACGTGTCTGAGAAAGGATCGTTTAGAGGTTTTTACCTATTTTACATGAGGAAGAAAGGATAGAGATCAGGAAACAGTTCAAAATTTTTTCCATTGTTGTGAAAAAGTGCATTTAGTATAAAACAGGCAATTATCTGTGCATTTAATACGCAGGCTAAGGATGTTTCTTTCAGGCTTGCTTTCTTTGGGCATGTAATTTCATTTTAACAAATATGTGTTGCGTGTCAGCTGTGTGTCAGTTGCTATGCTAGATAACAGAAACAAATTATGAATAACATCCTCACTTTCCATGAGTTCAAATTCTAGTACAGGCAAGAGTCATCTAAATAAATAATTCTATGAAATGTCATAAGGCTAAAGAACAAAGGTATATGTAAGGAATTCTATCAAATGTTTTATTAACTATTAGCATGGAACAATAAGGGACTGGCTCTGGTTTCCAGATGGAATGGCCCTTATGGACATCAGGTATAAAGGGTCATTTGCTTAACAGAAGGCAGAATTGCACATCTAATATTTTAGGTTATCAATAAGGGCATATAATAAAAAGAGGCAAAAAGAAAAAAAAAAAAAGACAACCTACCTCCAAAATCCAGCTAAAATCTCTTTGTTTAGAAAGGACTCCTGGATTTTTTAGTTTTATCTTTCATCCAGATGAGAGGGGTGTAATGTAGTTGCTAAGAGGCTGGACTCAGGAGCTAACCTGCCAGAGTTTACATCCCAGCTGCTCACTTACTAATGGGCTGAACTTGTATAAGTTGCTTAATACCTTGTTTCTCATTGTGCTTATCTGTGAAATGGGGACAATAATTATGGTACCCATCAGATTGTTATAAAGATTTGTGTATTTCTAAAGTTAAGAGAGGAAGTCTTATTTTCAGTCCCTATGATAGAGCCTTCAGAATGACTGTACCCAGAGGTCAGGTTTTTGTTTTATTAAATAAATACCTCATTAATTTAGTAAAGTTTTTTCAAAGTTATTTTTTATCTGATTTTACAACAGATTCTGATTATATGTAATATTTAAAGCTGATTCTCTTATATCTTCAGCTTAATGACTTGTAACATTGAAAATTGCATTTCCATTGATTGTTCTTTGCAGAATGATGGTTCTTTCTGTTACTGATATGATGATCTTTCTGTCCTTCTGCCAATAATTGGAAAGAAACTTACATCATCAGCTGTCTTTTTATTCTGAGTTTTTAGTGTTTGTGTAAGCAGACAACTCTTGCTGTTCAATGATTATATTTTTTAAACATCTTTTCATGTAAAACGTGCTTTTGTTATTGGCTTTCATTATGAGGAAATACATAAAGAGATGAATTTAAAAGGCTCTGTTTCTGCCCTCCCTGGCTGGTACTGTTTATCAGCTGCTCAGCAGTACTGTCTCTGCTGGTGACATTGTTGGGGCTATTTAGCTGAACTATTGCTCAATTAGACTCTTTCCATTATTTATATGTAATCATTAATTAATTGATATTATATTCTCTTCAACAAAATAGTCACCTTGAAGTTTAATGCCTTCAAGTGGGTCCTGGGGGCATAGGCAGAACTGGAGTAATAATCAATCAAACCTTCTCTTGATAATCCTCCCCACACAGTGCGCTGTACCTAATGCAAACGCAAGCTACCAGACCATGCATTATGAGTTCATTTCCATGCTGTTGACATGTATGAGCTGCAGAAGACTATGATGTTTCAGAAGTTAACTCTCGCATCTTCTAGATAGGAGGTCCTTCTCTAAGGTTTTAAATGCCATAGCAGTTGTTTTCTGAGATTGTTTCTCTAAATGTATGGGCAAATCTCCCAAGTGAAAGAAGATCCTTAAATGATCCCACGTCTTACCTTCTTCTAAAGGTGAGTGTAACCCAGTGAGCATATGAGGGGCTTGGCTTATAGAACATCATTTTCAAGACTTTGCCAAACGTTTTGCTTCCCTCTTTGACATCTTCATTCGTGCTACTGGACATTTATGTTACCAGTCTCATATTTAAAGTACAGCAGCATACAAAACATTTTTTCACTGCGATCGAGTGTGGCTAAGTTAACAATTTGGCTAAGTTAACAATTTCCCAAAGGTTTCTAGGCTGTTTTGACTACTTTAGAGAACTGGTTAGAAATACAACTGCAGTGCCTCTCTCTGAAAATACTCAATTTGGAAGAGAGGAAATGGTCATTGTGAATATTTTCTATTCTGACCATAAATGCTATATATTGTTTGATTTATAAGTGTATTGAAAAAATGTCCTTTTGTTTCAAGGTACTACACTAAATCTAGCAGTACTTTTACTTACACAATGTTTAGTGTGTAATGACCCTCTGAGAAGTCATTTATTTGGCATTTATATCCATTGCAATTAGGAAAAATTTTTAATTTTCTTTTTGCCATGTTCTTTGGCATTTCTAATGGTATGCTGGTAAATATTTAACAACCAACCTTCCAAAAAATAAAAAATGAAACAGGCACAAAAAGAAAGACAAACCTTACTTACAATGTTTGAGAATTTCTGTAGTGTAAAAACTCCCACCATGACAGATTTCAACTGTCAAAATTATGTCACTCAACATGGATTTGGGAAGACATGTGCACAGTCACTATCACAAACTGGTACCAGCTAGCTCCAGCGTGCCCCTGGTTCTCATCTTAAAATCGGTTATCACAAACATGTTTTTTCTGTTACATGTTTGGACTTCTACCACCATTTATATTTATCCAGTAACTTTTTAAAAAAATGAATCATAGTTTGTTTCTGCAAATATATAAATGGGTGGAGCACTTAGGAGACTCTACCAATATTTTCATCTCCTTTCAGTGAATCAGGTTTTCAAAGCTGAATTGTTCTAGTCAATACTCTCCTGCTCTTCATTTTGTTTGGTACTTTGTTTATTACAAAATGAAATCTCCTGGGAGTGCATAAATGAAAACATTTCAGTGTTTATTCCAACCGGCTTTTAATTCACATCAATTTAGAAACTGGGAATTATTTAAAGTAGCTCTAGCTGTTCTAAGGTTAGCAATTAGCACTTTAATTTGTGCAAATGGCATTGAAAATACTGTATCAAAACAAACTGGTTCTCTTAATAGGAAAACCTTTTAAAAAGTTTTAAAAAAATCAGTGGTAATCAATTTGAACAGTACTGCTTTTCCACCAAGAGAGAGCAACATAAGCACACATAACAAAATATATCGACGTGGCCATTTTACATTGTACGCAGTAGCGTCGTGTCCAAATGTTACTTAGGAATCTATTACTTTATCTGCTTCTGAACTTGACTGATGAAGCGCAGTGATTAGTTAGGCTATGGCAGTTGATGCAGCATTCTATACAGATCATATTTCTGTCCTTAGATATTTTCTATGCACAATATGTTACTTCACTATGTTTTCACTGATGGTCCACATTTATGAGTGTCTAAAAGTTGACATTGCTTTTCCTGTCAGAATGGCTTTCAATAGGATACTCATCCTCTATCTACTATAAAAAGGTTAGAAAAAATTGCAATAGTTTTAAAAGTGTAAATGGTGGATTTTAAATTTTGTTTTAAGATAGTTAAGGTACATAATATCCAACTTTAAGAGAACTGGTATGTCAGGAAATTTTCTTTAAGATTTTACTACTATTAAATGTAATGACAGTTATTTGAACATAAACACTGACACTTGACCATAAAATGGAAGCTGAAAATTGCATCACTAAATTTTGAACTTTCCAAGACTAACCTTAATTAGAAACTTTGCTGTATTCCATGGCTTGAAGTCTTGGTTTAATTATTTTAGGGACACTGTTGCCACTCACAGTTTTCATACTTCAGAAAAACAAAGTGTCCTTAGTTGCAGTAACTAAATATTAAACTTATATTGCTTCCATATAACAGCAGGAGTACCTGCAAAACATATCAGTTAAAACTCGATAAGGTCAAGTCTTAAAAATAACTGTACCAAATGATTTATTATACTTATTAAGCTCATGATTTACAGGTCTTTAGATACTTGTCACCCTTAGTGGTGGGAAGCATTTACCAGGGTAAGGGAAAGAAAAAGAAAAAAAAAGGTAATGGCTACAAATAAATGCAACAGTTCTGTGTTTTTGGGAAAGTCATTTTTATGTAATTTTAAATTAAGAAAAATTCAGAAAATAAATGCACATAAATGATTGTTAAAATATTTTAGAAGTCTTTTTAGGAAGGAGCTTGTGGAGTTTAAAAATTCTGTATAAATATTTGTATGATTTGTATAGCTTGCTGTTCAGAACAGTGACAGGCGTGTGTTAGGAATGTCAATGCCACAGGAAGGCATTGGCATCGTGAAGCCTTGTGGTGTGGTACTACTATTTATCTTTTGGTACCTAGGTTTGAAAAAGTAGAATTATTTCTAGATCTTTGGTTCAATTTTGTACTTAATATTATCTCAGAATATAACGAGTTTTACGTATTCAGTTAGCCACCTTTTTTCCTACAAAAAGCATGTTCTTGGATCATGTGCGTGTGTGTGTGTGTGTGTGTGTGTGTGTGTACTATATATATATATATATACACCTTTCTGTCTCTATCTTATCTATCTTTCTATCGTCTATTTCTCCTATATAAGGCAATTGTAATTGCCTATATAAAAATAGCAAAAATCCTATTTTTTAAACTGTAACTTAAGAATGATTCTACACATTTAAAAATATTTCACTTCATGGTTCCTTTACACAGAGAGCACCCCCAGTGAATTCAAAATAGAAATTAAATGAATGAAATCTTAACTGTAAAGAACTATAAATCAATCAATCAACTCATTGAACAGATGCATACTGAGCACATACTATGTGCCAGGCACTTCTGTTAAGTACTGGCTATCCAGTGGCAAATATATCTTTGCCAGTGGAAAAACATTCTATGGAAGTTCAAGGGTCCTGGAGTGACACAAATGGCATGTTTAAGGAACAGAAATTGGCCATTGTGACTGCTAAGTGAGGAGTCAGGGAGGGTGGTACAGAGAGGCTGGAAAGGAAGGAGCTATTTACATGGGGAGTTTTAGGCCATGGTGTAGAGTCTGGATGTTAGGTTCAGTGGGAAGTCACTGGAAGGTTTTCAGCAGTGGATAGATGTGATCTGCTATACCCTTTGAAGAAGATAATTCTTACTTCTATGTGGAAAATAGATTGTAAGGTGGCAAATATGAATATAAGTTCAGTTTGTTGGCT